TTCGGGATTTTCTTGCGTGTTTGAGACTTAGAAGGTACCTGCTGCGATGGCGGGATACCACCCCATCGTCAAGGAGTTGCGGGCGATGCATACCCCGCGGTTCGAGTGATCGGTGAGACCGGAAGCTGCGGAGGAGTGGCTCACCCAGATCGCTCAGGACTTGGAGTATCTGCAGTGCCCGTACCAGTACCGGGCCATATATACAGTGTGTGTCTGTGTGTGTGTGTGTTTTGTAATATATAGCAGTATAGAGAATGTTACCGCGAGAATAGTGTTGCAGAAGTTGCACCGGACGTAATAAAGATGGTCGGACTGGTGTGAAACTCGCGAAGCCATTGAGGGTTTCTCTTCAAGGTTCATTTCTAACGAGTGAAAGAGATGCGAGATGAATATATGGGAACAAATGAGATTAGGGTTTTATGGTGAAATCTTTCGTTGAAAGCATTACATATATATAGAGAGGAGAGAGAGGCCGGCCGTGACAGTGTATATTGGCCAACGTATATGGATGTATGTATTCGGCAGAAATCTAACTTTAAATTTTATATCCAAAAAATGTACGAGGAAAATTAGGACCTTTGGCAAACTTTAAGGTCGGCCATTTAAAAAAGACGAAAAAAAAGTGTTGAATTGTACGAATAATTATTATTTTTATAAAGGAAGGGGGCAGATCTAGGGTTTTTATATATCACTAGTGATGGTACAACCTCGCTATATATGCAACATCGAATAGGCATATTTATCGTATAATTCGGACACTTATTGTTTTTCATCAATGGTTAGTTTAGTATGGAATTATTTATGAATGTTGGATGGTTCGATACTTCTTATGTTTACATTCGTGTTGTGTAATTACGTATAGATTATGCTAATTATATATGTCTTGATGTTTTTTTTTTTTTGGATGAAATTATGTATGTCTTGTTAATGTCTCCAAAGAGATATCCATTATGGACGAACCAGGATGATCAACACGTTATGCAATGTGCATGTAAACATGGATATATATAAATTCTTCCAAACATTCGTGATCCCAACAAACGATGGAAGAGCAATATTATCTTACAATCCGTACGTATAACTACGTCCGAACTATAAACGAGAATACACACACACACACGCACACGATATCGTACGTGCGAAATACGAATGATGAAATCATGTAAAAGACCAAAGACGATCAATAAATCAATGATAATCTATGGCCGCCTGAATTCTATCACGGTTCACACTGATCAGTACGCCATATATATATATATATATATATGAGCGGCTATCAAATACTTAAAATTTTCAAAATTAGCACAAAACTGCTCGTGGAAAGTTTTATTCAACATCGATCGACAATTCATTAATTTCCAGATGATAATTTTATTTGCGGTCGATCAGCGACCATTCAAATGGAAGACGACCCAATTTTATTTTAGTTGTAAATGTCATGGATCTATATATTCGACTTGGATTATGTTTTAGCCCTCCACCCCCTACACACAATATATATATGTGTGTATATATATAGATATAAAAAGGGTTTGAAAGAAGGGTGATAAATATGAAGAAAAGAGGGCCTGCCCCATGGCTTCCATCTTTTGTGGGTGCACTGCTATTTTAGGAAATTCGAACGGGACAGGTGATTTTCTCACACGTCTCTTTCAGCGACTAACTTTTTAGCAACTAAGATATGCTCATTCATTCATTTATTATTATTTTCCCCTTTTATATTTCTTAATAAATTTTAAAAAAAAATCTACACTGTTGAGGTACTGTGATAACTTCAGGAAAAACAGTCAAGCTTTAGCAGAATGATCTACGTTTACTATTCTTCTTTATTATTTAGTTAATGAAATTAAAACAATGGAACAACAAGGAAATTTTCCATAATTTATACATGTTTATATAAGATTCTTGGGAAAATTATAGAAGATTTGTTCAACTAATCTTTATAGTTCTTTTACATTTTTTTTTTTACAATTTATGCTTCAAATGTGATTAATGCTATGTATATTGGTAAGGAAAATATTCCAATAATATCTATGCAATGAATGATGACTTTAATATGAAAGATAAGCATGACAACCCGAACTCAAAACATGGGTATAAACAACTTTTGAACATCTCCGTTCTTTTTTTTTTGTCAAACCAGAAAGTTCATCTGAGCCTTCGACCCAACCTACATCTCTCTGGACCCGGGAGCAGTCTTTGAACACACAGCCTTTGGCTATGCCTCTCCCTTCCCGCATGTCTGGATTCGAACCCCTGACCTGGAGGAGGAACATCGTCACTTCCAGTCCAAATACCACTCGACCACAGACATGTGGGTTGCAATCGTTATTGACATGCGTTCGTGTCATAACAAAATTAAATGTAGGCGGAAAGAGGCATCATGCATCGTGTACATTCATATATATATATATATATATGAATGTACACGATGCATGATGCCTCTTTCCGCCTACATTTAATTTTGTTATGACACGAACGCATGTCAATAACGATTGCAACCCACATGTCTGTGGTCGAGTGGTATTTGGACTGGAAGTGAGGATGTTCCTCCTCCAGGTCAGGGGTTCGAATCCAGACATGCGGGAAGGGAGAGGCATAGCCAAAGGCTGTGTGTTCAAAGACTGCTCCCGGGTCCAGAGAGATGTAGGTTGGGTCGAAGGCTCAGATGAACTTTCTGGTTTGACAAAAAAAAAAGAACGGAGATGTTCAAAAGTTGTTTATACCCATGTTTTGAGTTCGGGTTGTCATGCTTATCTTTCATATTAAAGTATAAAATTTCTTTTATGGGAACTTGTTATGTATCTAAGGTGCGTGATGCATCTATATATGATTAGTATTGGTTAGCTTTGAGATTCTTTGTACACTCGACCGCGTAGAAATCATGGTGATATTCTCCTAATTCATACCGCTTTGATTGAAACATGGACTCTCTCATTTGGAAAATGGATAATATAAATTTTGTGATAAAAACTAATAATGACAAGATTTCCTGTGGGCGTTTTCATATATTTATAATATTCGAATTTTTTAGGTCAAAATGGAGAGTATACCAAACCCACGACTTCCATGGGAACACACAAAGCCCAAAGCCAAAGAACCTTCACATCATCACATGTGGTGGGTTCTGTTCTGTTCCTTAACGGATTTGTTGGATTTTCTTTTGTTTTATGTCTTTTATCTCTTTTCGGAAATAATATCTTGGATTTGATTTGACTTGTCCTAATTAATTGTACTTTTGTTTATATTAATCTCTCTCTCACTCGTCTTTTCAATTGAAAGCACGTACTCGGTTTCTCTTACCGAAGGCCCGAAACCCAACTTTATCTTTATTTCGTATTAATAAGTTGATCATAATCTCGGTTTTTTTTATAAGTCATTTAATATATGAAAGCAACTTTAGTATATTGTGTATGATATATACAAATGCAAGTTTTATCCTACTTCTTGGAGTCGATATATGGTTATGCATATACTCGTGATTTGAATACAATATAATTAGGGTTTAGGGTTTAACATAAATAACGATACCCTAATTGTTTAACATACTCATTATTTTTTAACGATACCCTAATTGTTTAACATAAATAAGTAAAGTCCAAAACAAATAGTAAATACAACAATATTTTAACTTCCCTATTATATAAATTCTCAGCATTTGCTAACAATATATGGCACACCATCCTATGTTGGCAAACTATAATTTAGGCAGCGCTAATAACATCAATGTAGATTTCTAACATCCATCCCATAATGATGTGGTGGCCAGTTCGTCTCCGTTTGTAAGGGTAGGTAGTCACGGGGGTTCCCCAATGTTATCAAAAAAAAAAAAAAAATACAATATAATTAGGGTTTAGGGTTTAACATAAATAACGATACCCTAATTGTTTAACATCACCTCTCTCTCTCTCTCTCTCTCTCTCTCTCTCTCTCTCTCTCTCTCTCTCTCTCTCTCATTATAACTAAAATCAGAGAAAAAACGAAGTTTTAAAGGCATTGTTTCGGAAGTTGAGCATCATCATCTCTGTTTGGTCCCCAATGGTAAACAAGATCCGATCATCAGTAAAATCTTCTTGGTAATTAATAATAAAGGCGGAATTTTTTTTACCATATGGAATCATAACGGATTTTCGTCGTTAAAAAAGCAATGAAATTTTTGGGATTTGGTATGGAGAGATGAAAGAAAATGGGGGTAACAGATCTTGACCGTCCAAGTCCAAATATACAGAGGGTTTCTCGCCACGAAGACACGTGCTTCTCTATCCTTTGTTTCCTCTGTCATTCCCTTTGCGTCCATGCATGGAATTCTCATCACTCTTCAACGCAACGACAGCACACACCAGAGAGAGAGAGAGAGAGAGACTGTGTTTGTGTCTGTTCAGAGAGATAGAGAGCAGCAGAATGGAGCCAAAACTGCGGCTGCGCTTTGATTACTCGTCTTAGGAAGAACCCATCTCTTCTCCGAAGTTTTTGATTCTTATTTTCTCCACCAGAAAAAAATCTCCCAACTTTAGATACTTGGAATTTCAAAGCTTTTTTGTCCTCTCCTCCTTTTGCTGTTCATTAGCTTGGCGGTCGGATCCTGTACGTAGCACAGAACAACTGTCACATCCAAATCTGATCGCTGTGAAAGGAACAGGCTTGCTTCTCTCTCTCTCTCTCGATCGACTGTTGCCATCTGGGATTTGGGAGTTCTTTGGTTTTGAAGCATTGTTTTGGAGACTTCAGGTAACTAAGGGAAATGGGTTTTCGTTAATCTTCCTTCATACTTTCTTGTGTCTGGTGCTTTTTTGTTATGGTTTCTCGAGAATCCCCTTTTGATTTTTGTCTGCTTCCTGTTCCATCGTTTGTCTGAGATAGATAGATCGATGGATCAAATGGAACAGAGCAAAGATAGGAACTTTGTGTGCAAGTTCTGTTCCAAGAGGTTCTCCTGTGGGAAATCTCTTGGAGGCCATATTCGAACTCATACTCACGAGAATTCCGTTGATTCAGACGAGGATGAAGCCGATAAGCTCAAAATCTTCGACAATGGCGGCCAATCTAGTTACGGTCTGAGAGAAAACCCAAAGAAGAACAAGAGGTTCACGGATCAAACTGAGATGATCACTCTGAAACAGCAGCAACAGATTCTTCTGTGCAAAGAGTGTGGCAAAGGGTTCAGTTCTCTGAAAGCTCTTTGCGGTCATATGGCCTGTCATTCTGACAGAGAGAGAATGGCCACAGACAGTCAGTCTGATTCCGAGACTTCCTCCGCGACAATCAGGAGGAGATCCAAGAGGGTGATGAAACACCGCAAGGCTTTTGTTGTTCATCGATCCATTTCAGCATCTGAGGTTGAGCAAGAAGAACAGGAAGAACTGGCATTGTGTTTGATGATGCTGTCGAGGGATTATTCCAATTTCAAGAAAGTTCAAAACTTTGTGAATTGTGTGGGCGAATCATCGGATACTAACTCTGTGATTCTGGAGACCAAATCGTCATCAGGAGAACTGAAGCATGTGGGAGGATTCCGTTGTAATGCTGATGAGATTTCGGCCGCAAAGAACCAGAACCAGTTGAAATCTCCCGAGGAAAATGGTGTTCTTCTCTATGATTCTGATAATTCTGATTCTGGGTACTTCAGAAACGGCCCAAGGAAGGTAGATTCAGATGTTTCCATTGACGGATTTCTCAGAAACGCTGGATCTAACAAGGCTATGATGGAATCTGGATCCGAATTCAGCAACTCCCCTGCAGCAAAACAGGACAAGAACTTTAACAGGTTGAGGAATGGTACTGAATTCAGGAAAGAATCATACAAAGAGGGAGGATCGAGCCGTTCTTCCGCAAAGTATGATCTAAGGAAAAGCAAAAGGGTATCTTCTTACAGCCGAAAGAAAATCGAGACGAATGAACTCAATGAATCCGTCCACGACAGTGGCGAGAACAGCTTGGAAGCAGATTCTTGTTCAGACATGAACCACAACAGTAGCAAAGCCCTGATAGCTGCGGCCGCATGTAAGAAAACCAGGGCGAAGAAGAGAAGCAAAGGGCATGAATGCCCGATCTGCTTTAGGGTTTTCAAGTCAGGACAAGCTTTAGGTGGGCATAAGAGGTCACATTTCATGGGCAGCCACCATGAAAACAGCACAGTGGTGATCCAACAGGAGGTGACCCAGATGCATACCATGATCGATCTCAATCTTCCCGCCCCTTTTGATGAATGAAACATAAGATCATAATCTTTTTTTTTTTTTCAGGAATGTTTTCCAGTTGAATTTGTTCATATAAAAGCTAATTTATAGCTACGATATTCAATTTTTCTCTCCAGCTATTTCTTTCATATCTCGTTGACGCTTCTTCTCTTCATCTTATTGAGAGCTTGTTCCTCTATTATTACTTCTCGTGATTCTTCTATTATCTTCAATGAAGCATCTGTGTTCTCGCAAATCATCTATAAAAGTCCGTTGCATCGAAATCATGTAAAGTTTGAAACTTTACCCCATTTTGATACAATCATATCATCAATTTAAGAGCCCTCGTTTCGTGATTAAAAACTTTATATATATATGTATATATATATGTATATATGTATGTATGTATGTATGTATGTATAAAAGAGATGTGTGGCAAAAGGAAAGGACCACCAACTTTGGGCTTATGAAGAAACTCTTTGGAAAAAGCGTATAGGTTTCCCTCTTGAAAACCCCAACTTACCGCATGCTTGGCATCAACTTGAAGTTTTAGACATCTTTCCTTTGCTAGGTGCTTCTATTTGGGCATTTCATAATTACTTTAGCTTGAATTTTCAACTCGATTATATGGGCACAATACATATATATATATATATATGTATTATACGTTATATGTATAAATATTGAACAAGATTGGGAAAACTCTTGCACAAAACATTCTAGAGAGGGAAAAAAAAGGTGAAAATGATGGTGGTTCCATGCACACTAATTAATATTTTCTTCACCACCTCACATGGCTTGATTATAGAATTTTTTTTTAATCTACTTTGAATAATTCAATAAGGAAAGAGTCCTCGAGATATATATCTACTTTGAATATTTTCATACCCACGAAACCAAAACCATACATATATATATATATATATACGCCATATACTCATTACAACCTCGAGATCACTTCACTTACTCTCTTTTTTTTCTCTCATACTAAACATAAATACGTAGACATAAAACAAATATTATGATCATATATAGGGATATAACATGATTTTTTTTTTCACGTACGCGATCGATGATAAAGTTGCAGAAGTCGAACAAATTTACAGAATTTGAGATGTACCGATAATAGAAATTCAGAAATAATTAGTGGATTAGATGTGGTTAAAGTGGAAATACGTTCATTAGAGAGGTGTAGGGCGGTTGAAATATAATGAGGATGAAGAACATATTATTGTAAGGTGGTTGAGAAAACTATTCCTTGCGGTGGAATATATATATATATATTGCGTTCGCAGACGCAGACGCAGACGGAACACGGACACATACATACATACATACATACATACATACATACATACATACATACATACATACATACATACATACATACATACATACATACATACATACATACATACATACATACATACATACATACATACATACATACATACATACATACATACATACATACATACATGATCCCATACTATTGGGCCAAAAATAAATAAATATCAAAGCCCATGGGCCCATGAACGAAAGAAGTGAGGTCTGTTATTTCACATTGTAACTAACTAAACGGAAAGCCGAGGAAACCAAGTGTCAACCTTTAGGGTTTAGGGTTATCAAGAAAGTGAATATACAGTTCGGAATGTAGAAGGTCACGGATTGATATCGATGGATATGAAAACGTACGGTCGAGGAAAAAGACAAAGGCTTTATGATATATATTTTCTCCATTTTGTATACATACATTATACATGTATATTTCGCTCATAGTGGACCCTTTTGAATTTTCTCTTCCGTAATAACGTCGTTTCATGTGTATCCTATGCCTTGCATTAATAAACCCTCAATTTTCTTTCACCATTTCCCCCCCTTGCATCTCTGACTTTCCCTCCCTGATCCTTTCTCTTTCAAGAAACCCCTCTCTCTCTCTCACTCTCTCTCTCTCTCTCTCTCTCTCACGTCGAAGAGATCTCTCTCTTTCACGGCGGAGAACAATGCCGAGTCATATGGACCGTCGGATCTTCATCGCCCTCGTCTTCGTTTTCATCCTCCTCCTCCTCCTCTCAGCCGCCGCCGGAAATCCGAGTTCAAGAAACTTCAAGAGTCTCCGGAGCCGCCACGTGGGTCAGAGGGTTCATCCGTACTACGCTCCCCCACACCGTTCATGCAACACGTTCTCCCGTCCGTATGCTCGTTCTATGTGCATTGAGCTCCAACGTCTCCAACGCAGCCGCCACCCGCCCCTCTCTCCACCGCCGCCGCCGCCAGAGATCGACCCGAGATTCGGCGTCGAAAAGAGACTCGTCCCTTCCGGTCCAAACCCTCTTCATAACTGAAGAAACCTACTCCATTATACATATATATACCTACATAAACACCCATATATATATTATATGCATGCCGACGCTATATTCACATGTCCGTAATTAAAACCTCTGCTCTCGCATTTCTTGCTTCGTGCGCGGGAGATTATGTGACTGCACGTTTCTTGGAGTGATTGATTTCGACTGTGGCTTTGAACCTTACCTTTTGATCCACCGAGAGGGTTAGAGTTTCGTTGTCAACAAGAGGGTGTCATTTTTTTTTTTCGGGTAGGGCTTTTTTTGGCGTTTCGCTTCTAGTTTGAGGATATTAATGTACGTCGTACGTTATGGGGAATGCTATTTGCTATTTCCATGCTTGTTTTTGTTCTATTATGATTTGGAAGAGGCGGAAACAAGCCTGGAAATGGTGAATTTAATATTTGCATGGAAATAGAGGATTGCTGGAAGAAAGTGAATACTGTTGGGGAGAGAGAGAGAGAGAGAGAGAGAGAGAGAGAGGTGGAGGATCAAGAGAAACACATGAGTTCCATAAATTTGGGAACTGTAACTTATTTTGTAATATGGGCTCTTGCTGTTGGTCGTTGTGGAATCTGATGGGCCATTCAGTACTGTATTTTGTGTGATTGTAATTCTATTAAATGTGTCGGTTTCCGTACGAATATATTTCAAAATTTTAAGATTTATATACTAATCTAACTTACAAAATCAAAACGTTACAATGAATTGGTAGATACCATAGTTAGCCGTCCCCCCCCCCCAAAAAAAAGATTAAAACTTTCTAGAAAAATATGTGCCACAAACATGCATCTAACCATGAATTTAACATGGTATTTCAGATGTATCACATCCGTATATCTGTATTCACTTTTTGTAAAAGATTTTTCATATTGCGGATCTAAGATTTTTTTCGAGACTGACACAAGGTTGAATATTTTTAATTAAGGATAAAATTTAAAATTTCCTTAAATATTTATCTAGAACATCTAAAATGATATCTATTTAGTAACAAAAAATATTTTCCAAAAATATATCTATTAAAAAACGGAGGGAATATTAAAATTTCTATACATTATAGTTAGATACAAATAAAAAAAATAATTATCACATTAAAATAAATACTTTTAGATTAATATGATAATTATTTTAATTTTATTTTAATAAAAATAAACCATTAAGTACTTTTATTTTGTAATATATGATCATAAAATAAATACTTTTATTTTAATAATAAATCAATATTTTATTTTAATCATGTCATATGTAAGTATAATATTGCATCATCCTATAAAAAGATTATATATTTGTAATATAATATAATTTTATATGATAATGTAATAAAATATAGTTTTTTAGATGTGTTTATAAAAAATTTTATGTTTATTTAGATTTGTTGATGGATAGGGTTTTAAATGGATATATTTAGAAAGTTTGAATTTTTTGGATGTTTTTATAAACTTAGAAATGTATTTAAATTTCTGCATAATTAAAATTTTAAATCAATTTTAAAAAGTAATAATAATTGTATTGGATGTTTTTACCTAATTTAAAAGATATCACAAATAATCGAGTACTCATGATCAGGAATATAAATATCGTATACATTGTTTCTACTAGAGAGAGAGAGAGAAAAGTAATCTTAGGTTTTAAAAGAAAGAAAAACTGGTAATTGTGATATATTATTTACCGTTTTTATTTAAATGAATATCTAAAATATTCATCCGTTTTCTCTCCTCTACTAGAAAAACTAGATAATAGCTAGATATAATAAAAAAAATAAAAGTTGTTTGGATAACGAGAAATTTCCTCCAACATCCAGATTTGTAACATCAACAATGGATAAACTAATTTTTTTTAATATTTTTTAAGATTTTAATTAGCAACAAACCTTGCTTATTAATACGCGAACAGCCTCTGCACTTGTTTATCTTCACTAGTTCTCTTTTCTCTGGTTTTTTTTCTTAGGGTTTAGAGTGAAAAACAAAAAAAAAACATGGAACAAAAGCATGCAGTATACTTGATAGGAGTAGTAGTAGTGTTATGTGGAATGGCGGCAGAGACACTCGGAGGAGAGACAAGAGTCGGAGTGAGGATAGAAGGAGTGACTTCCATTGCAAGAACAGATGATGACTTCATCTGTGCAACTCTTGACTGGTGGCCCACTGACAAGTGTAACTACGGTCAGTGTCCTTGGGGCAAAGCTGGTCTCATCAACTTGGTATACTTACAAAACTCTTTTATCAGTTTC